GAGAGTCCAGCTCAGGGAGATGCTCCTCAGGCAGGTCTCTGTACCGCTCTGCAGGAATGGTGTAGGACATAGGCAGCAGGTCTGGCTCTGTGGGTTAGCAAGAGGGAGAGATGGGTCCCATTCCAGGAGAAAGGTGCCATATGAAATAGAGAGATAGATAGATAGATGCTATCTTGAGCTTGGTAGGGGCAGAGCAGGGGAATGCTCCCTTGCATTCTGCAAAGCTGCATTTTGGACAGCAATTCCTAGCATCCTCTAGCCAGCATGGTCTGTACCAACTCCCAGAACCCATTCTCTATGCATTTGCACTGCAGAAATAATGCACTTCGACACTGCTTTACGTGCCATGGCTCCATTCTAGGGAATCCTGGAAATTGTAGTTTGTTGTGGCAACAGAGCTCTCTGACAGAGGAGGCTAAATAGCTCAGAAAACTATACATCCCAGGTTTCCATAGCATGGAGCCATGGCAGTTAAAGTGATGTTAAAACTGGATTCATTCTGTAGTATGGCAGCAGCCTTAGAAGTAGCTGAGGTTTGGAGCCTGATACATGAAGGCACCCTTTTTCCTTAATATGTCTGTCTGTGTGCATGTGCCTTCAGGTCACCTGTTGACTTATGGAAACCCCTTGTATTTCATATTGTGCATAAAACTACCTTCAAGGTATCTGTATAAGCTGCATATGAAATATAAATGAACTTCATGTCTCCAAGGTATCTATCTCACTATATCTATTGTCATTGCTGTGTGCCATCAGGCTGTTTCCAACTTATGGCAACCCTACTGTGGGGTTTTCTTGGCAAGTTTCTTCAGAGAGGGTTTGCCATTGCTTTACTCTGGGGCTGAGAGAGTGTTACTTGCCCAAGGTCACCCAGGTCCGAAACACACTGTAGAAATAACCCAGTTTGAGATTGCTTTAACTGCCCTGGTTGAATGCTAGGGAATTCTGGGAACTGTAGTTTTGTGAGACATTTAGCCTGCTCTGTCAGAGAGCTCTGGTGCCACAATAAACTACAATTCCCAGGATTCCATGGTACTGAGCCAGGCCAGTTAAAGCGGTCTCAAACTGGATCATTTCTGCAGTGTTTTGGACCCCAGTGGATTTACATGGCAGAGACAGGATTCGAACCCAGGTCTCCAGAGTCATAATGCAACACTCAGACCACTATATCACACTGGCTATGTATGAGGTGTATACGAAATATAAATGAATTTTGCATTTAGACTTGGGTCTCTGAGAGATTTCATTGTATATATAGTATATAGTCTTTTAAAATTGTATGTATTGTATGCACATCCTTTTAAATTGATGTGTATTTTAACTGATGTGGTGTGTCTGTTAATGGTTGTTGTTCCCTGCCTTGATCCATGGGGAGGCGGGTAAGTAATAATAATAATTGCAAATATTAATTTATTGGTCATTTGTTATTTATTTGTTTTTAAGTATGTTTTAAACTATAATTGTTTAATTGTATTTTTTTGGGGGGGGGCTATTGGGAGATGGGACTGTATGTTTTATTGTGTAAGCTGCCCTGGTTGTAGTATACAGAGAAGCGAGATATAAATAAATTATTATTATTATTATTATTATTATTATTATTATTATTATTAATTCCAAAATTTAAAAAACTCCCAAATCCAAACGTCTTCTGGTCCTAAGCATTTTGGCTAGGAATGTCTCAACCGGTACATGCACCTTTCAAGGCAGTGCTCTTGCCCTGAGATTCCTCTCTCACGGATCTGGAAAGATGGTCTCCAAGTGGCGCTGTGCCCAGGCTTTGAGCCGAGCCCAAATACATGATATGCAAAACCCCCAAAACAAGAGGGTGCCCTTCTTTCTGCAAAGACCATGAGGATGCACGCTTCCTTTGTGGGTGGGTTTTGTTGGGCAAAAGAGGAGAAGGAGAC